CAGCAGGAAAGGGTGGTGATCATTATTATTGTTGCTCCATGCAAAGTGTCGTGAAGGTCAGAGGTTGTAATAGATAAAGCACCTGGTATCACATGATGACCCACCTGGGTCTGTTCCCCAGCGAATGTGTGACCCTGATAAGCCACTGTGTGTCACCACCTCTGCCAGGGCAAGCATGTGACCGCAGTGCTGTTCTTGCTCCCCGTCTCTGTAGACTTATGTGTCCCAGTGGCCTTGGATGCTTCTGCTCCTGGCTGTCAGCGGCTTCTGTAACTTTGCCCAGAACGTCATTGCCTTCAGCATCCTCAACCTCATCAGCCCTCTGAGCTACTCGGTCGCCAACGCCACCAAGAGAATCATGGTCATCACAGTGTCCCTGATCATGCTGCGAAACCCAGTCACCAGCACCAATGTCCTGGGTATGATGACGGCCATCCTGGGGGTCTTTCTGTACAACAAGGTGAGTCTGGGGTGGGGGGAGGCTGTCCCCACAGACGCCCAGGGAGTCTACCAAGAGTTGGTCGGGGCAGGGAATGGAAGGGGCCTCACCAGGAACTAAGAGGCCCGGGTTCCAGCTGCCAGCTTTGCCACTGACTGGTTTATGGTCTAGGTTCAGGCCCCTCTGCCCGGGGCTTCCTTTTCCTGCGTAGATGACCCCAGGCTCATGCCTCACTCCAGTGTGGCTCTCGGGTCTACTGAGGCTTTATCGGGAATTTCCCTCCCTCCTTGTGAAGACTGATTGTTCCGATGTAAGGCTGTGGGATGGCTGACAGGTAGGGCCGGTCCAGTAACAGTTCGCTGGCCATGCCCAGCCCCACTAGGGGTGACACTTTTGTTGGCCTTGAAGGCTGCTTGGCTGTGAATCTCGAGCTCCCCTCTGTTCTCTGGGCATGTCCTGGACAAGGAGCCAGTGGTCTCACTGCTCTCTTGCACCTCACAGACCAAGTATGACGCGAATCAGCAAGCCCGGAAGCACCTCCTCCCCGTCACGACGGGGGACCTGAGCAGTAAGGAGCATCATCGGAGCACCCTGGAGAAGCCCCACAACGGCATTCTCTTCCCCCAGCACGGGGACTATCAGTACGGCCGCAACAACATCTTGACAGATCACTTCCAGTACAGCCGGCAGAGCTACCCAGACTCGTACACTTTGAACCGTTACGACGTGTAGAGTCTAGCGACCAGGGCAGGACGTTCTGCCAATCCTCCCTCTTACCCCCCAGCAGTACCAGAAACTTCTGACAACCAGTGAATGTACAACCCGGCCAAGGGGGGACGGTGCAAAACCATCAGAAAACCCTGGGGTTCCCGGCCCCCCTGGGGGCAGCAGGACGCCGTCCCTGCAGTGGGGACCACTGCTACTGAGCTCCGGTGTTTCATGCCCTTTCTTCCTGGAGTCTGTCTTCTGAGGGCTGCGTTGCCATATGGAAATCTCGTCCGGCTTTTACCTTTCTGTGTGGACTTACTTCCCAAGTCATGTTTTTCAGAGTTCTTGTTCTGTTTTCCAGATAACAGCCAGGACCCTCTCTGGAAAGGACACAGACCTCGGAGTGGGCAAGAGGTGGTTTGCAGGGAGGGTGGCAAGGAAAGGACCCTAGAGTGGTGCTTGGTGACAGACTAGCAGCTTTAATTCCACTGCTCAGGTAGGCGTAGGACTGGTGCAGCCATGGAGCAGAGGAGTGTAACGGTTATTGAAAACATCTCCAGCCACAAAGATGGACTCAGCTTTCTGATCAGCCCCATGGTGGTTTGCAGTTCTGGCAAACGTTCCCCAGTGCAAAGCTATTGTAATTAGCATTGAATTCTTAGATCCTAATTCTGACCCAGAAGTCAGAGGTGGTGTGTGCCCGGATCCAGAGGGAAAGGTGGCCGCTGTCTCCTGGGCTCCCTCTTGGTGGAGCAGGGCATCTCTCCTCTCGGAGCAGCAAGGAGGAGGGGACGCAGGGCTGTGAGAAGGATCATGAGGAAATCATGTTCAGTTGTTTCAAGCTCTATTTCTATATTTGTTTTGTTTCTTGAGCTTTCACCACTTCTGTGCTGACTTAGGATGTTTGGTGGGGTGATGTTGGCTTTATGAGGATCTTGCATTTTTCTAGGGCAAATTTTGTAGCTGTCTGTGCTTTTATGCCCCCATCCCCCTTAGGGGATGCAGGATGCATGAGGATCAGCTTATGGTTGGAAAACCCTTTTGTTTTTAAGCATTTAAAAACGAGAAAAGTTGCTGGTGATGCCTGTCTCGGCACGTTTCTGCGTTTAGTAGGAAGGAAGTGTTTTGAAAAGCTGGTCACTAGCTTTTCTAGTGACCAGTCCCTGAAAGTGAGATAAATCAAGAATGTCATCTCGATAGTTTGTGTCATAGATGAGAGCTCAGTGCTCTGATTTCCATTAGCTGTTCTTGTGGTGTTTGCATTAGGATCTGAATCATGTCCCAGTGAAGGGGCAAGCAGCAAGCTAGGATTTGGTTTGCCAAATCAGTCTTTGGTCAAGAAAAAGTTTGGGTTTTGGCAAAATCACTCGAGGAAAATTATGTGACCCTAGTGGGTAACCCATGTGCTGAGGTCCAGGTCGGGACACCTGGCATCACTAGAGACTGTGCCCTCGGAAAGGACCACTTGCTTGGCTTTTAGGGTCTTCGCTGATGGCAGCCTTCTTCCTTCAGCCCTGTCCCCGGGCCCCTTGAACAGGCACTTGGCTTGATCAGCAGATGGGATATCGGGTCACCTTTTACCTCCTGGCATGTTTCAAGGAAGTACCGCTTGACTCCTGTTTGTTTTGGTAATTAGAATTTTGTACTTAGAGGTTACACTTTTGTCAGCTTATGAATGGGCGGCTCCTGGAGAGGTCACAGGGACCCCTTGTGGCCTGTGAGTTCAGTACCACTGGCCTAAGGAGTCCCTGTTTGTCGTCGTCTTGCTTTTGAATTACTTTGGCCACAAGTTCTGAGACAATGCTGTGTAAAACAGGAAGGGGCCGTTCTGAAGGGTGTTATTTGTGAAAAGAACTTGCTGAGTGCCTTCACCAGAGGCAGTAGAGTCTGCAGTTGAACCACAATAAATGGGGATAATTTTGCACGGCATAGACATTACAGTAGTTGTCTTTATGATAGGAACTGATTTCTTGAACGTATAATTGAACTCCAAAATGAATTATGCCTCTATGCAGGTTTAATGAAATTTCTGAGGTTGCTGAAATGTGTGTATTTGTTTTCCTTTTCCAGTGCAAGATCTGCTGGTGAGGGGAAATATCTGACTGGTTTTATTATGGTTTATACATGAATAAATGGGATATTTAGTTCTGTACATAAATCTACAGTGAGTACATACACTGGAATGAGAGACAATCATATCAGACCAAATCATCAGATCAAAAGACAAAGACATACTTTTGAGACTTGAAAGTTCAAAGCTGACACTGACCTCTTAAAGGCCAGTTTTCCAGCCACTTGCTGCCCTTGCTCAACCCTCCACCCCACTCTCAAATCCACATTTGCAGCTGGGTTCCCCTCACCTCCTCACTGCCGGGGATTGTGACAGCTAGTTCACCCATCCGTGGTATTGTGTGCAAAACTAACTCAAAGCCAACTCCTTCGTTTTACAGAAGGGGAAACTGAGGCTCAGAGGGCATTTTTAAATAGTGTTTGTTCACTATCTTGAGACTCAGTGTGGAATTTTTAAGCACCTTATTTTAATTCATTCATTATTGGGAAAATCAAACCCCTGTTACAAAGGAGAGAAGCCAAATAGGTTCAAATGACGAAGCACTTGGAATTTCTGGATTTTACTGTGTATTTGGCATACATCATGCAACAGGCCCTCTGTTATCACTGGGACATAACCAGACCTGGATACCTTAAGGTCTAACAGCCTTAAGGGCATAGAACATTAAATTATTGAAGAATCTGAACATTGTGAATTCTTTTTTTCAATTGTCACCTTGTTTTCAGCACTTTTCATGCTATAGACTGTTCTGTGGGAATGATACTGTGTATATTCATGGCTGGCATTTACCAAAAATAAATGGTGGTCTCCAGGGAATCAAGATTGGTCCCAGTTTGTCAGTGAGGGTCCCTTTCTGAATGACCCTGTCATCAGTGTGCCCAGCAACAAAACGTGTAAGAGGCGTAAAGAGCACACCAACTTGGTTCCCACATTCAGGTGTATTGCAACTTTTTTATCTTTTCTAAGCCAAAATTTAAACATGTGACTTGTGAATTCATGAGCCAGTAGGATAAAACTAGAATCACAGCTTAACAGTTAATGACATGCCTTTATTGAACAGAATAACATGGAAAATCCAAGAATGTTCTGAGAGCTGTGCTTACATCTGTATGAGGAGCAACAGAGTACCTGCTACGTGTGGGCTTTTCACACACAATCCACAAAGGATTACTCTTCACCTTGTGAGGCCCAGAGGGGTTAAGTCATTTGTCCAGGATCACACTGAAGTCTGCCTCCAAGCCCATTTCCCCCCATATTACTCAGAAACCACTCCCAACAGAGAATTTCCTTCAATCATAGATGATGGGTATGAGTTTCTCCTATAACAATTGCCCACATCCTTTTAATTCATAATCCTTTTGTTCAGTGATTTACTGAGCACCAAAATATACTGCTGAGATATATAAAGGTGCTTGTGAATAGTTTATCTCTGAAAGGATACACAGGAAGCCGGACACAGCAGTTGCCTCTGGAGAGGATATATGCACTTTTTTCAAAACTGGCATATGGTGCCAAGTACAGGAAACAGATATGTAAGCCTTCTACCCTCAGAGCACTCAGTTTAATTTATGGAAGTGTGACTAAGGAGCACACAAGTGCTGTGTTGGAGGTGGGGCAGAAAATGCTAAAGGAAGTACAGGGTAATTATTCCAGTGGCATATGGGAATGTTTTGGCTTGCATTTTCAATTCATGGAGTATTTTACTTCACATTTTATATTATATATGCTTGTTTAACTATCAGGACCCAAGAGGCAGGTATTAGCCCTATTTTACAGAGGGAAATGGTAACAGAGAAAGTCAGGCTTGGCCCATGGAACACGCCTGGAACCCAAGTGTCTGACTCCAAGCCCAGGGCCCTTTGCCCTGCAAAGCAGCCTCAATGAAGTGAGTGGTTTTGTTTTTCCTCACGTTTGTCATACACTCGGAAGAGGAGCTGGTGCAATCAAAGGGGATCCTTTCAATTCACTTGCCTTGGCCACACTGCTAAAGTAAGACCCTGATGTCCAGATGACCCAAGTCACTTTGCAGTTGTCTGCTGTGGTTCCAGCAGGGCCTCAAGAGGCTCTGCTGGGGATGGTGTCACTGCCTTGTAAGTCAGGCAGGGCCAGGTTTAAGGATGGCCTCATTGCTCAGATACCAGAGCCCGAACCCCTCCTCAGGGATGTCTGCTCCCAGACACTGGACTCCTTTCTCTCCCCAGGGCAGCTCCTTTGTGACCAGGGGTTCGTTTGGTGACACATGATCAGGCCCAAGGAATGCTCATGTCTAGAACAGGACAGGACCTTCTTCTGTTCCCACATGACATTCCTCCTGCCATGGCTTCAGCTAGTTGATCACATGGGGTTCAGTTACTGCAGATGAGGTGACGGTCACACCAAGCTTTGCTTTACTGAGAACATAGGTCTAGATGGGCCTAGATTTCCTCAGTCAACCCCCTACTTTTTTTAGTAACAACTTTTCTGGTCTGTATATTTTTATAGTCTATATATTTTTTAAGTTAGAAAAAAATTACTAAAGCCAAAAAATTATCCAGACTATACAGATGTCAAAAAGAATGGGATAAAGAACAACTTCCAAAATATATCGCTGAGATATACAAAGGTGCTTGTGAATAGTTTATTTCTGAAAAGATACACAGGAAGCTGGACACAGCAGTTGCCTCTGGAGAGGATATATGCACTTCTTTCAAAACTGGCATATTACTTTGTAAACTGCTTTAAAAAAATATGCTAGAAACATTTCCCTTGTTACTAAATATTATCCCTTGATTCTGTCTGTGTACATGGTATTATAAGATATGCTACAATTAACCAACCCCTATTGCTGCACATTAAATCCTATTTTAATGGGATGAGTTTGCAGCGCACAATGTTGCACATGCTTCTAATCTAGGATAAATTCCTCACAGCACATTTGCAGGACCAAAGTGGGTATGCGTGTGGGTTGTAAATTCTTTCCTTTTTGCTTGTTCGGTGGGCCCCTCAGCAAGTTCATCTCACCAAGGGGTGTGCATTTTACTTGCTTACTTAAGACTTTTGTTCCCAGGTCCTTGGAGACCATGTCGGTCTGCAGGAGCCTCTACTTCTAGCAACTCTCTCTACTGCTTTCTCCTGACCAACGGATTCTGATTTGGCCCACTGAAAGGAGCCTGGGGGAGGCCTTGTGTTGCTTAAATATCCAGTCTCAAAGGGCATTTTAAACACTATGAGATGAATGTATGATAGCAGTAGTCATGGGTGTACAACCTTTCTGGTGGACAGTTGAGCAACGTCAGCATTAAAAGTGCAAACCCTTTGACCACAAGATCTATGTATACACTAAAACTTTTAATAGTGGTTTAAAAGTAGAACCAACTCAAGAGACTTCATAGGGTCTGGCTTCAAAAAATTATGGTAAATCCACACCACATTGTTCTATGCAGTCATTAAAAATGACCAGATTTGTAACGTGTTTTGGTTCACAGATCCCGTTAAGAATCTGATAAGTGCTGTGTATCTTCAACTCACAAAAATGAGTGCTATCTCTGAAATCTATCCATGGTGGATCAGAAGTTAAAGCTTCTTGATACAGTTCTTTACTGGCATGGAAAAATCACACTATCCAGATTACTGAGCAATATACTAAACAGAACACTCCCCCTGCCTGGACTGTTCACATAGCTGGTTCCGGAGTGGGATCTCAGTGCAAACCTCACTGCCCAAGGGCCTTCTCAGATAACCCTATCAGTGTAGGCACCACCCTCCTCCCTTATCATGGTCTTAGCACCCTCTGTTTTCCTCAATAACACCTTTGAGATGATATATTTGTTTACTGATCTATGGGTCTCATGAGACTGTGGGCTCATGAGAACAAGAACTTAGGTCTGACTCGTTCATTGTTTCATCCACAAGCAACATCCAACCTGCCTTTTTTTTTGTTTTTGTGTTTGCTTTTTTTGTGGTACGCGGGCCTCTCACTGTTGTGGCCTCTCCCGTTGCGGAGCCTGTCGCGCAAACTCAGCAGCCATGGCTCACGGGCCCAGCCGCTCCGTGGCATGTGGGATCTTCCAGGACCGGGGCACGAACCCGCGTCCCCTGCATCGGCAGGCGGACTCTCAACCACTGCACCACCAGCGAAGCCCCAACCTGCCTTTTTGTGAACCAAGAATGGTCTTTACAGGTGAACATTTGCAATCAGTTGATGACAGGAAAGACTGACTTGGAATCCCCAGAAAAGCACTCCATTCTTCTCATTAGACCTAAATTATTTAAACTGTACTCAATTGCTATATTTTAAACTCCACCAAGAAAAAGTGTTCTGGACATTTTTCTCTTTGGTTATATAAGCACTACATAATAGCCTCAATTTTGGCTCTTGGCCACAAGAGCCTAAAATATTTGCTATCTGGCCCTTTATAGAAAAAGTTTGCCAGCCTCTGGTCTAAGGCAGTATCTGGCGTACAGGAGACAATCCATAAGCGTCAGAAGTTACGTAGCAACAAAAAAAGAAATGTATCTAAAACACACAGATATTTTCATAAAATAGAGAGGTATAGCCAACTAAAGTGTTAATGTTCACGGCGAGAGTCACGTTACGGGGCAAGTCCACAGTCTACATTTCCCTAATGTTTGCTGCGGCTTGTTAATTTTCCCCACTATTAGCATGCGTTAACTTTACCATCATCGTTTCGGATACAACGTAAATGCATCTTGCAGTGTGGCGCCCTGCCCTCTGCACGCGCAGCGTAGAAGGCCCAGCACCCGTAGGTCCTGGACGCTCACTCCTTCCCCGCTGCTTGAATGACTGCACAGAAGCCACGCGAGCCCCAAAGAGGCGCACTCAGTCTGAGGCCGGCGGGGGTGCGGGTGGGGTCCGCTCGCCCTAAAGTCTTCCTTACCAAAGCGTTGGATCGAGGGAAAGAAATCGAACGGAAAGGAGTTCCTTTTGAACCTCAATAAGCTCAGTTCCATCCCCGCCAAGCCCATAGCCTCCCGGTTCTGCTTCTACCTCCGGGCGGGCCCGGGAGCCTGTGACAGGCGTCGCGGCCCAGGAGCCGCCCAGACGCACCTCACCTCGTATTTTCCTTACCGCCGCCCCGCGAGGAGGAAACAGGCCCTGACCGGGGCAGGAACACCCCAGGCCCCCTAGTCCCGCGGAGAACGAGGCCGGCCAAGCCTTCGGGTTGCAACGCTGAGCTGAGAAAACGCCCCGGCCGCGGATAACGGCCGTCCGCTCAGTTCTAGCAGTTCCCGGGCGTCGCGCGACAAGAGCCCACTCCGCACATGCGCAGGAAAGCCCTTGCGCGTACACTTCGCTAGCCCCTCCTGCGCGCCCGGCCTCGCGCGGCTTCTTCCCTCCCGCCTTGTGCCCTCACTTCCGGGGTTTCCCGGCGACGGCCGTAAGTGGCGGGCGGAAGCAGCCCGCGAGGCCAGCCGTAAAAGGCTCTCTCGCGCCACTTCCGGCCGGCTTCCGCAGACGGCCCTGGTGGGCGATCGGGTGGCGGTGGAGGACGTTCCCCGCAGCCGGAGCCATGGAGATGCCGCTGCCGCCCGATGGTGAGGCCCAGCCCGGGCTCGGGGGCCGTTTCTCTCTCCCCGGAATCCCTTGTTGACCCGCCCCGCCTTTCGGGGTCCCCGGGCCTAGGAGGGGGCGGGGCTCGTCCTCCCGGGTTCGCCTGCGGCCTCTCCCGCGGATCCCCGCATTCCCGGAGCGCTTCTGGCCCCTATCGGGACCCGTAGAAGGGCGGCTGCTCCTGGGCCCACCCCTAGGGACCCCGGCCCCGCGGACGCGGGCCGGGAAGCCAGGGCCCCCGGATTTGGGCGGTCCTCGCTGACGCCCCGCGTGGCCTTTTCTCCGTCTTCCAGACCAGGAACTCCGAAATGTCATCGACAAGCTGGCCCAGTTCGTGGCCCGGAACGGGCCCGAGTTTGAAAAGATGACGATGGAGAAGCAGAAGGATAACCCGAAATTCTCGTTTCTGTTCGGAGGCGAGTTCTACAGTTACTACAAGTGCAAGTTGGCTCTAGAGCAGCAGCAGCGTGAGTCCTCTCCAGCTCTCAGGCCGCCCCCTCGAGCGAATCCTTTCTCTGGTTCCACTTTCGGGCTCTGCCACAAAACGCCTTCTTTTGGGTCGCATGCTATTTCTCTGTGAAAATGGGTTAGTTCGGCCTTCACGATTCCTTCGGCTGTTCTCACAGCCCTGCGGCTTCAGGGTCCGAGTGTCATGGAGAGCGAGGTTATCGATTCTCCTTCTGGGCTCCGGATCAGGGATTTCTGTTCTTTTGCAAACATGATGTCTGAGATCAGCGAGTAGAGTGACTGCTTCAGTGTTTTCCAGGGAGGAAGTGATAGAAGCCGGACTGGGTGGGACCCTCCTGGCAGGTGCCATCCACCCCCCTTTGCGGGCTCTCTGTCGGTCCAGCAAGGTTTTTGTGCATTTCAGATGGTTGCAGTCCAGATCAAAACTAATTGTCCTGTGGGCTTTAGTTCTTTGCAGCTGTTTATGTTCACTGGTTTGGGCTTCAAGGTTCCGGCTTGAAATTAAGAGAATTTAAGATGAGGTCAGTTGTTCTAGCTGGTCTTTGAATAACAGATAAATAGTTCCTGAGTTCACATCTGTATTGTTCAGTAGCAAATCCCTAGCTTCTAGATAACGTTGTGTTTCAGATTGCCAAGTAGGTGGACATTGAAAGGTGAATGCTCCCTGGACTACAAGCTCCCTGAGGCCAACCAGACCTTGTTTGGGTCAGTGTTGTGCCTAATAGGTAGCAGGTAGTAGGTGATCGATAGTTTGTAAGACATAGCAAAGGTACAGTGGCTTGAACAAGCACAGTGTGTTTTTGAGAGCCGGGAGAGGAATCATAAGAGGCCTAGCATGGCTGGAGTGTAGATGTGTGTAGATGGGGGAGGGGGTTGATCTGGAGTGGGAAAGTTTCCAGGGGAAAGTTTTGGTTTTCTTCCTTAATCCAGGGGTTCTTCTGGTGCCTGTCTAAGGTTTGAGATGAGGCTGGGGAAGATTTCAGGTTGCCTAGGCAAAATGTACCCATTTATGTGTTTCTGGAGCAACCGTTCCTTAGCCCCAGCACGTCAACTTTAAAACCTCTGCTGTAGGCAGTGGGAAGCCACAAGGGAGGTTGAAACAAGGGAGAGGTGGGTCAGGTTTGTGTGGCCTGCGTGGAGAACAGGCTGGAGGGAGTGTGAGTGGAGGCTGGCATGGCAGTTGGTGGTAAAGTCTGAATTGAGTCGGCGAGTTGAGTAAAGGGAGTGGGCTTGGGGACAGGTGGGATTAAGGGGTAGAATCTGTGAACTGAAGCGCCAGTTGGATATTGATGCGGGTGGCATAACTGGGCAGGGGAGGATGGTGTTTGGGTTCAAGTGACCATGAGGTGAGAGCTGCTTCCCCTGCGAGGGGAGCCCACTCCCACCCTGAAAGTCATAATTCGGGGGCTGCTTGGGACTTGGTGCCATAATGGGGGGAAGTTGGGGTGTTTCTAGCAGGGGAAGATCGGGACTCAGGAAATGCTTTCTGCAGGTAAGAATATCTCCGTTGCCATTAAAGTCCGTGTCAGAGTTAGACACACGGAAACTGAGGAGCCAGGAGTGTTGGGATGGAGGCATGAGCCTTAGGAGGGGCTGGGAGGAGGGGGGCAAAAGCTCAGGGTGCCTGAAGCCCAGAGAAGGAGGGATTCTTGGAGCGGCCAGAAGTGAGGGTGCACAGCAGGGAGGGCTGGCTTACCAAGGACTTAGGAATTCTGGAAGCTTTGGGGAAGCTGTAGAAGGGTTTCAGGACTGTGTTCTCTGTAGCCAGCCCTTCACCCTGGTGATTTGAGAAGACTGAGTCCTGGGACCGCTTGAGGTTGGCGCCTTACCGACTCTGGTGAAGGACTGTTTTTTGTTTTTTTCTGATCTGTTGCAAAAAGTACAGTTTGGCAAAGTACAATAAAAATGTGAACAATGATGGGAGTTCTCTGGCGGTCCAGTGGTTAGGACTGGGTGCTTTCACTGCCGGGGCCCAGGTTCAATCCCTGCTCGGGGAGCTAAAATCCCCAAAGTCACGTGGCACGACCAAGCAAAGAAAAAAATGGGGGAAAAAACGTGCATCGTGAAACATCAAATTGCTGTAAAAGTGCCAAAACACTCCCTCGCCGTTTCTGTGCTTGTCTAGTCTTGGCGTCGCCTGGGGCTGGCCCTTGGACCACGCTTTGAGCAGCGGCACTACAGCCACAGAGTAGAGAAGGAGAGGGACGGCAGGACTGGATGCAGGGAAACCAGTTCCCAGGTTGATGCAGGTGACGGCAGAGTCATGGCAGTGATGGCAGGACACACATAGATTGGCATGTGATCTAGGAGGGTGACTTGACTGTGTGGGGCAGCTTGTTAGTGTGAAGTGCAAGGGAGAGAAAGGTGCATGAACCTTCTCACTTCTGGCTCGGGTATGTGGTGTAGCTGTACCAGCCACGGATCAGAAGGGGAGCTTTGGAGGGGGTGGAACGCAGGGTGAGAGGGAACCCATGCCTGTTTGAGGTGCCGGTGGAAAGCAGTGGCTATTTGGTCTGTAATTAGACCCAAAGCTTGAGGAATCCAGGATGGTGATGATAGATTTAGGGGTCATAGAGTGCACTTTTTAACTGCAGCCACAGGAAGATGTCATGTTCCCCTGGGGGCTTGCTCAGAGGAGGGGGCTTAATTCTCAGACTGGGCATCTCGGTATGTGAGGGTCGGATAGAGGAAGAAGGGGCCAAGGGGATGGCCACACGGGCCACATGAGACAAGGAGCTGAGATGGGGCCATCAGGCTGAGTGGGGATGACCGCAGTGGCTTTGGGGTTGGGGTGGGTGGGCGGAGCCAGACCTCTGTGGGTTGAGATAAAGGGGAGATGAAGAATTGAAGATGAATCTTAGCTGTAAAATTGTTGAGAGCGGGGCATGGATGAAGAGGGAGCTTTTGAAGATCAAAGACTTTGGTGTGTTTAGATGTTGCTGGGGCAGAGTCAGTAAAGAGAGAAAATGAAGGAAGGAGAGCGAGAGGACACATTTCCTGAAGCAGCGTCCCTGGGAGGGTAGGATCCAGAGCTCAAGTCAGGGGGTGGGGGTAGTCCCATAAGGTGCCTTTGGTGAAGGCCTGCCTCAGACCTAAGCAGTGGTGGGCCCTGGATGACACCCTGCACCCCACCGTCCTTTTATGGCTTTGTCCAAAGGCTGGGCCCCCTTAGAGTGGGACTCAGAAGGGCTCCAGCAGAGCGTGGTCACGCTCAGACCAGCCGAGGCCCAAATGCAGAGGTGGAGGCCATCTTGTCCAGGGACCCTTCCCCCAAGTCCTCCCCTCCCGTCTCATCTGACGAGGTTTGGGGCCTGCACCTGCCCAATGCAGTCTCCTGCTAGCAGGACAGGGCATCCCACGTTGCCTCAATATGGATTGACCCTTGAATGCAGAGGAGTAGAGTCAGTGGAAGGAAGGCAAAGGGTGGGGTGTGGGGAGGCCACAGCATGTGTCAGGTGCTGCCGTGCTCCTGCCGTAGGGCTGCAGGTGCGTGGGTTTGCTGGTCGCCATCCAGAGGTCCAGTGGCTTTGCTGTCTTGAAAGGGGAGAGTAGACTGGGGGACAGCAGGCATTAGAAATAGCTGCCGAGGTTGCTGGGGGTTGAGAGACCCCCTCGGGGAGGGGCTGTTTCTTCAGGCCCAGGCAAGTGTGGAGAAGGTGGAGGGGGTAGGCTCAGGCTTCCTCTGGGCCGAAGGACAGTGGGCAAGGCTGGACGGTGTTGGCTAGCGAGTGGTGAGATGACAGTGCCAGAGATCTCGGAGGAGAGGACGAGCAGGAAGGCAGAAGGGGTCCAGGGCTAGGCCCCATGATACAGGGCACGCATGGCGGCGGCACATCGCAGGGGTCCTCTTCTGGGTGGTGAGTATAGGGAGGGGAGCCCCCGGGGCTCAGAGCTGCCCAAGAGGCGGCCAAGGGGATACCTGGACCCCAGCCACCTCCTCACAGGGGCCACCTCTCCTCCTCTCCTGCCAGTCATCTGCAAGCAGCAGGCCCCAGAGCTGGAAGCGGCCACGGCCCTGCCACCACTGCCACAGCCCCCGCTGGCCCCCGCTGCGCCCATCCCGCCAGCCCAGGGCACCCCATCCATGGACGAGCTCATCCAGCAGAGCCAGTGGAACCTGCAGCAGCAGGAGCAGCACCTGCTGGCCCTCAGACAGGTATGGGCCAGCTCCTCCCCCTCCCCCGCCCCTCTTGACCTGAGGTGGGTACCCAGAGTTCACCCTCTGTGCCTCAGTTTTTGTATCCGTACATTGACGCTAATATTCGGTGTCAGCGCTGAGGACGGGGATGTCCCATTGTCCGGGGCTCGGCACCTGACAGTCATTATCCCTCCAGTGCTGCCACCACCCATGTTGTGTTAGCTTGACCCCGATGCTGGACACGGAGGTTGCTTCTCATCCCAGTGAGGTCACTGCACGAGCTTTGATACCCACACACCCGTTGTGCTGGAGTGGATGTGACAAGTGAGACTGCACATTGGAAATTGTGTGACAGAATCCAGGTGGCCTCTGGTGCCACCGGCACCAGCTCCTGCTAGTTAGGTCACCCTAAGCTGTTGTGGGGAAGGACCCTTTTGTCCCAATCCATCACAGTCTGGTACTTTGGCCAAATACAATAGGATAGGTTGCCAGAAACATAAGATGGATGAAAAGATATCTGAAACGCCAGCCCCAATTTTAGTATTGGAGTCAAGACATAAGTTACGGTTGTGTTATTGAAAACAAAATGCTCCAGAATGCTTACTCAGTTTCCATACGGAACTCGTCACAGACTGGGCAGTCTGGCTTCAGCCAGCCCTGGGGCTGACTGCCTGTCCCCCCAGCAGCACCGGGTCTCAGCCATATCTCAGTTTGCCAACCTAACGGGCAGAAGTCTGGCGTCATGTTTTAATTTCGGACTTCCTGGTTGCTAGTGAGGTTGTTCTGCTTTTATTTGACTGGTGACTGTTTATATTTGTCCTCTCCATACCATGTTCACACCTGCCACTCATTTTTCTTTCTTTTTTTGGTGAATTGACGTGCAGAGGTTCCTTGTTCCTCTGGGTCTTAATCTTTCTGTCTGTCATCTCCGGGGAGACATTGTCTCCCCCTGTATCTTGTCGGGCTTTATCCTCTGCCTGCTCTGCCTGTTACAGCCGTGACTTAACAGATGTGTGTCTCAGGCTTCGGGCGTGAGTGTTGGGGGCAGGGCACTGATGGTCCAGCCTGCCTGGGCCTGGGCCAAGGTCCCTCCTCACACAGTCTCTGTCCCACTTGGCCTTCTAGGAGCAGGTGACAGCAGCCGTGGCCCACGCGGTGGAACAGCAGATGCAGAAGCTCCTGGAGGAGACCCAGCTGGACATGAACGAGTTTGACAACCTGTTACAGCCCATCATCGACACCTGCACCAAAGATGCCATCTCGGTGAGGGCGGGGTGGGGCTGGGGGCGTGCTCCCAGAACCTGGTGCTCCTGACTAGGTGGGAGCTCCTGCAGCCAGTCTGGGCCAGGGCTGCTCTAGGGGCACCCCGTCTCCGCATCCCCTTCCCGCATGAGCACTTCCGTGGGCTCCCCCACCAAGAAAAGTGGAAGGCAGGCAGAGGCCATCCGACATTCCCGGGCGTCTGTACACTTTGGCCTGGGGAAGGCCAGCCCCACTCACCCACCACCCTGCCTGTTGCAGGCTGGGAAGAACTGGATGTTCAGCAACGCCAAGTCCCCACCTCACTGCGAGCTGATGGCAGGCCACCTCCGGAACCGCATCACGGCCGACGGGGCGCACTTCGAGCTGCGGCTGCACCTCATCTACTTGATCAATGATGTGCTGCACCACTGGTGAGGGCCCTGCCAGCTCCGCCTTCCCTCTTGCTCCTTCTCCCTCTCCCGGCCGATGCTCTGCGCTCCGGAGCCTGGCCTGTCCCGGGACTGGGAACCACTCTTCCGAAGACCCAGGGGGAGGGTTGGTCTGAGCCACAAGCCCTCCATCGGGAGGACAGCCACCCGCACCGCCCACCACCTCAGCCGCTACCCCAGACCCCTCGCCCCACCTGGGGCCGCTGTCCCCTCACTCCTTGCTCTCAGGGCAGTTTCTGGGTGTTTTTCAGTGTCTCTGTCAGCTGCCAGCTCCCTTTTACTGACCTACGCACACCTCAGTCACCTGACTCTGCTCTGCTTCAGGAATCTTCCCATAGGGTACCCCTGGCTAACCCTCTGCCCCCCACCCCCACCCCCCAGCCCTCCTAAGGCCAGGCCAGTGTTTATTTCCACATGGCCTCTTCGGTGCTTTTTGACAAAGGTTAAGTCGAGAAACCAGATGCCTAGGCCAGAGACAGGGGAAAGCTCACGGTGCTAGTATGGCTAGCCTGTAGCTGTGAAGACTGGCTGCCACGTTTGTCTTTGAACTTGGCTGGCTGGGGGACAGCTCCTGTGAGGGCAGCAGACTCAGACCCAGGTCTTGCCCCTTCTGCCCACGTGCAGCCGGGCCCTGCCCCTCCCCGCTTCATGTGCCACGTAGGCGGTTCCGGTGTCACTACGCGCTCCCTACATCACCTTCCCCTATTTCTCTGCCATTGGGAAATAAGTAGCTGTTCGGAACCTTGTCTGCCTCCTGCTCCGCCAGCCGCTCCGCTGACTCAGGGCAGATCTGCAGAGACAGCCCTGTTTCTGGCACTTCTCCAGCCACCCGCTTCCTGAGCCTCACTGTCTGGAAGCCCAGTGCGGCTCGCCCCGTCCTCCTGCCTGGGCTGCCCTCCCTCCCCCAACCTGGCTTCCCGGCCCCGGGCACTTGCTGCTCTCTCTGAGCTCCCTCCGGTGAGCTCGCCTCTGAGAGGGGTTCTAGCTGCCCACCTTCTTCCCCGGGCGCTGCCACCTCGTTGTACAGCTGCGGGCCCTCCACGCTCATTTATGCGGCGTGCCCCCCGAGAGGCCGCCTCACCCTGTCAGGCCTCAGGCTCCTAGGCATCTGGCAGCCCGCACACTCCCTCTGCCTCGTGGAACGTGGGGTCCCAGCCCAGGTTTCCTCGTGCCTAGGGGGTGACAGTGCCGGGTGAGGCTGCATGGACAAGGCCCTGTACCCACAGCAACCCCAGCTCAGCCTTTGTGGGCAGCTGGGGCTCTCACAGGCCTGCATCTGTCCATCCTTAGGCCACCCTGGGAGAGAAGGGTTATCTTACTGATAAGGGGACCAGGGTGAGAGGCCTTGCTCTGAAAGTCCCCAGGCTGTGTTCTTTCCCTCCTCCCACTGCCGTCCATCCATCCTGTGGGGAGCCCAGCCCTTGTCCCAGCCGGGTTGGGGGCCCGTGTCCCAAGAAGGCAGAGGGTGCTGTGGCTGGAGCCGCGATGGTAACGGGCGCGTGGCCGGGTCCCGCCCCAGGGCCCTGACGCGCGGAAGGTCTCTCCCTCACAGCCAGCGCAAGCAGGCCCGGGAGCTGCTGGCCGCCCTGCAGAAGGTCGTGGTGCCCATCTACTGTACCAGCTTCTTGGCCGTGGAGGAGGACAAGCAGCAGAAGATTGCCCGGGTACAGGGGGCAGCCGGCAGGGGGCGGGGGCGCGGGAGATGAGCAGGGGCTAGCGGGGGTGGCACTCGTCTTCCCCCTGACATGGCCTTTCCCTCCTCCCCAACGTCCAGCTCCTGCAGCTCTGGGAGAAGAACGGCTACTTTGATGACTCCATCATCCAGCAGTTACAGAGCCCGGCCCTGGGGCTCGGCCAGTACCAGGTGTGTGCTGCTCCCTGAAGTTGGGGGCTGAGCACCACCAGTAGGGTGGTGACCTCAGAGTCCTGGTGGCATTTTCCCAACTGGACTCCCTGGCGTGCCCCTGGGATGGTGGTGAGTGGTGGGAGGCAGAGTCTGAGGAGCAGCTTCAGGGGCCCCCACCCCGTCCACAGCAGCCAGTGAGCCCTCCCAGGCGAGCCCGCCAGACTTTTCCTGGTGCGCTTGTGACCAGGTTACCTGCTTTAGGCTCTGCTCTCAGGGGTGCCTTTGGCCCATTTGCTCTGGTCCTCCAGGTGTGATGGGAGCCTGAGGAAACCCTGGCATAGTCTAGGCTGCCACAGTCATCGTGTTGTGCACAGTGTCCCGTGTGCACATCTGCTTCTCTCTGAGGGGGCATCTGCTCAGGTCGGGGCCGCAGAGCAGGGAGAGGAGGGCCGGATCTCCTTGGTCACCTCTCCTGTGGTGCCGGCGTTGCTACCCCATCTACAGCTGCTTGGGTGAAAGACACAGTTCACACCCCCTTTTCCCAGGCCGGAAGATGTCTTCCTGCACAGGTCTGGTTGAATGTGAGAAGCTATATGTTGACCGTTTCCTCTGTGATGCTCCTGACTGCCACCCTCCCTACAGGGGAGAAGCTTTCATGCTCAGAAAGGCAAATGAGGAAAGTACATTTCAGACTTTTTCTAAGTTTTACTCCCTTTTTTTAATTGATAGATAAAAATGGGCTCATACCACCATACCACAGTGATATTCACTGCTTTTCTCCTATTGAGTTGGCGGTAGCAGCTCATGGTTACTGAGTTACCCAAGTTCCTTTCACTGCATTTTCCCCGAGTCCTCAGAGGTAGGTCCCGTTATTGTCCAATTTTACAGGTGAGGAAGTTGAGGCTCCAGGGAGGTTGTGACTTGCTCAAAGCCATACAGTGAGTAAGAAGTACCGCCTGTGAGCATGTCCTAGGAGTTTGTCAGTGGTGGGATTTTAATGTCTGTGTGGCACTCCAGGGCACGGCTGTCCTTGCTTGTTCCCATTGTTAGGGAATTCTAAACTGCCCAGCACCAAACGTCACCAGGTTCGGCTAGATTGAGATGCTCTGTGGTTGTCAAGCTCAAGTTGATTGTTTTACGTAACAATCGCCTGCTTGCCCTGGGTCCCTGGGCCTTGCTGCCCGCAGCATCACCCCAACCTTCTGGGTGCTCCCCAGGCATTTGTCCCCGTGCTGCTCCAGAGGGTCTCGGACCTTGAGTCTCATGTCCTGAGTGCCGGCTGCCCTGTTCTCCACCAGGCAACCCTCATCAATGAGTACTCCTCGGTGGTCCAGCCGGTGCAGCTGGCCTTCCAGCAGCAGATCCAGACCCTCAAGACACAGCACGAGGAGTTTGTCAACAGCCTGGCCCAGCAGCAGCAGCAGCCGCAGCCACAGATCCAGATGCCGCAAATGGAAGCTGAAGTCAAGGCCACGCCGCCGCCGCCTGCGCCACCCCCCGCCCCCACGCCTGCCCCGGCCATCCCACCAACCACCCAGCCTGGTACGTGGCTCCCTCAGCACCTGCCCCCAGGAGGCAGCCTCCAGAAAGCAGAGTCTCCTCCCCCAGGAAGGGGTCTGGTTCTGTAGTCTCAGGCCCAATCCGAGGAGCAGATTCTAATCTATTTACAAGCACCAGGCAGGTAATTTCACAGGTAAGTGTAACCACGTCCTTACAACTGAGACAGTTCTCCTGTACAAACCATCCCAGAGAATGGAGAGGAAAGCTCTCCAAGTCATTTTTCGAGGCTAGGATAACTGATACCAGGTGGACATGGACAGGGAAAGAAAGAAAAATGTAACCCAGTGTCACTTCTGAGCAAAGATGAAGAAGTGGTACATATTGGGTTGGCCAAAAGGTTCGTTCGGTTTTTTCCACAAGGTGGCTCTAATAGCACTTAGTTGTCTTTAACTTCATTCAAAACAATTTCGTTAGATTGTATGTGACGGCTGTCATATCAGCGTGCATTTTAAAAAAGACATCAAAATTGGTGAATTTTTGTGTAGCCAGTTTAATACTGAAGATAGAAGGGAAAAAAAGCAACATTTTCGACATATTACAGTTTATCATTTCAAGAAAGGTAAAAACACAACCGAAATGCAAAAAAAGATTTGTGCAGTGTATAGAAAAGGTGCTGTGACTGATCAAAACGTGTCAAAGGTGGTTTGCGAAATTTCATGCTGGAGATATCTCGCTGGACAGTGCTCCACCATCGGGTAGACCAGTTGAAGTTGATAAAGATCAGATTAAGACATTAATTGAGAACAGTCAACGTTATACCACGCGGGAGATAGCCAGCGTACTCAGAATATCCAAATCAAGCGTTGAAAATCATTTGCACTAGCTTGGTTATGTTAATCGCTTTGATGTTTGGGTTCCCCATAAGTTAAGTGAAAAAACCTTCTTGACCGTATTTCCGCATGCGATTCTCTAACTGAAACATAATGAAAACGTTCCGTTTTTAAAACATTGTGACGGGCGATGAAAAGTAGATACTGTACAATAGTGTGGAAAGGAAGAGATCGTGGGGCAAGTGAAATGAACCACCACCAATCCCACCAAAGGCCGGTCTTCATTCAAAGAAGGTGACATTGTGTACATGGTGGGGTTGGAAGGGAGCCCTCTATCATGAGCTTCTTCGGAAAACCAAACGATTAATTCCAACAAGTACTGCTCCCAGTTAGACCAAATGAAAGCAGCACTCGACGAAAAGCATCCAGAGTTAGTCAACAGAAAATGCATGATCTTCCATCTGGATAACGCAAGACCGCGTGCTTCTTTGATGACCAGGCAAAAACTGTTATAGCTTGGCTGGGAAGTTCTGATTCATCCGCCGTATTCACCAGACGTTGCACCTTCGGATTTCCATTTATTTTGGTCTTTACAAAATTCTCTTAATGGAAAAATGTTCAATTCCCTGGAACACTGTAAAAGGCACCTGGAACAGTCCTTTGCTCAAAAAGATAAAAAGTTTTGGGAAGATGGAATTATGAAGTTGCCTGAAAAATGGCAGGAGGTAGTGGAACAGAAGGGTGAATACATTGTTCAGTAAAGTTCTTGGGGCTTCCCTGGTGGTGTATTGGTCGAGAGTCTGCCTGCCAATGCAGGGGACACGGGTTTGAGCCCTGGTCTGGGAGGATCCCACATGCCGCGGAGCAGCTGGGCCCGTGAGCCACAACTACTGAGCCTGCGCGTCTGGTCCCCGCTCGCCACAACTACAGAAAGCCCTCGCACAGAAACGAAGACCCAGCACTGCCAAAAATTAATTAATTAATTAATTTAAAAAAAAAATAAAGTTCTTGGTGAAAATGAAAAACGTGTCTTTTATTTTTACTTAAAAACTGAAGGCATTTTTTGGCCAACCCAGTGAAGTCTTAGCAGGTGAAATCTAGCAAAGTATTTAAAAGGTATGTCATGACCAAATAGGGTATGTCTCAGGAATATATAAGGATGGTTTAATACCAGAAAATCTAACAGATCAGATGGGAAGAAATCTTTCAACTAGATGCAAAAAGGGTACTTAATAAAGTGATGATGGGGGCTTCCCTGGTGGCGCAGTGGTTAAGAATCCACCTGCCAATGCAGGGCACATGGGTTCGAGCCCTGGTCTGGGAAGATCCCACGTGCCGCATAGCAACTAAGCCCGTGCACCACAACTACTGAGCCTGTGCTCTAGAGCCTTCAAGCCACAACTACTGAACCCATGTGCCACAACTACTGAAGCCCGTGCACCTAGAGCCCGTGCTGTGCAACAAGAGAAGCCACCGCAGTGAGAAGCCTGCACAGCGCAATGAAGAGAAGCACCGGCTCGCTGCAACTAGAGAAAGCCTGCGCGCAGCAACGAAGACCCAGTGCAGCCAAAAATCAAATACAAATTTTAATTGATAAAAATCCTTGAGCAAAGTAAAATCAATATGGCTTATCGATCAATAAGTAGGATACTTATTGTAAAGCGTTCAAAGGAGAGAGGGGTGTTTCCTGGCCAAGGTCAGGCCTCTCTTCGTGTTGCCTTCCCGGAGGCAATGGCAGTTTTCAGTGGGGTCAAGAAGCAAGGGTTTATTGGGCAGTGAGCCCAGCCTGGGTTGGCCCTGGGTGCTTGCTGAAGATCATTTTGGTTGGGGCGTCCTGCTGCCACCTTCTCTGAGTGCTTTTTTGCCTGGTTCTAGATGACAACAAGCCTCCTATCCAGATACCCGGCTCTTCTGAGTACGACGCCTCAGGAGGGGTCCAGGACCCTGCTGCCACCGGCCCCCGGGGCCCTGGGCCCCATGACCAGATCCCACCTAACAAGCCCCCGTGGTTTGACCAGCCTCACCCCGTTGCTCCTTGGGGCCAACAGCAGGTATCTCTTAGAACTTGTTGCAGGGTCAGGTGGGGCACACTTGGGTTCAACTGGACGGCAGGCAGGTGGGTGATGGCTGCTATGTGGGTTGATGGGCTTTTAGGGCTCCCTGGGCAACGAGGTTCTACAGCAGAGCCTGGGGTTTGGGGGGGTGGCAAGAAGGTGATAGTCTCCCCGAAGTATGGGGACTGAGCTGGGAAGAAAGTTGGGCCTTTACATCCTTTCCGGGAGCTTTGGTTATCTGGGCTTCTCTGTAACGCAGGTCCCCATTTTCCTGTGAATGCTGAGAAGTTTCACACCATGAAGTACAGCAAGGCGATTTGTTTCCTTCCCTTTTTAACTCGTCTGACCAGCAGTGTCAGCATCTCATCACCCTAGAAAGAACATGGTGCTTTCGTAAGGAAAGGAAAGGTCAGAGATACCAGGCTAGCAGCATTTTGTGGGACAGGGATGCTGGTCCATTCTTCCCTCCCTCCAGGTTCCTTGGAGTCAGAAACTTCTAGGCCAGGGCAGGGGTCATTCTCATCCAGCATAACATGACTGGAAAACACCCTGCCGCTTGCTCTCTGGCCACTGGACCTGGTTAGAGCGATCCGGTCTAGCTCTGGGTGTCCACTTGCCTCTCCACCAGGCATGGTGGGTGTGGCCCTCCTGGTTGACCCTGTGTGGAGGGGGCGTAAGGGAGACAGTTCTGGGCTGACAAGTGCAGTGTCATGGCTGTGAGTCCCCCCAGCCCACCCTCAGCTTCCGGACAAGAGATTTAACATCACAAAAGACGGGGCATCCCCACAAAGACAGCTCCTGCCTCTGGGTGCCTGCTGTGAGCCCTGCAGTGTTGGGTGCCCTCTGATGCGGGGGCACTTCCCCCCTTTTGTTGGTGTGGAAACATGCCCCTAGTGTCTCCCGGCTCAGTCTTTTTGGGGACTGGCAGGTTAGGCTCACAACAGTGGGGCTCCCTCACTGAAGGCCAGCAGTGTACCCACAGTCCACAATAGGAAACCACAGCCTGGCCTGTCCACGTGGTGTCTTACATATTGAAATAGCTGCCATATTGAAAATCTGGCTTCTTGGCTTCTCTTGAGAACCTGAGGGTGTGGCGGCTGGCGCCGGCCTCCCTGTGCTTGTGGTCAGTGGAGCCACCCAGCCCTGACCCTAGAGGTGGCCCTCTGGGCAGCCTCACCCAGGCACAGGCCACCCTGGCCCTGAGTTTGGGTTGCAGTCCTGGCTCTTTAAGTCTTCAAAGCAGCAGCTGGGCAAGCTCCAGGGCTTATGGTCTTCAACTTACAGAAAGCCATTTCCTGGTAACACAGCAGACTCTGAGATAAGGGTGTGAGAGGCCAGGTGACCCCAGGAGGCAGCGTAGGGAAGAGAAGTGACAGGAAAGGGAGAACAGGCAGGGATGGGGTGTCGTCAGGGTGGGCTCTGCCGTGGGCCCTGCGGCTCAGCCTCTGCCCTGGGAGTGGTGGGGCCGCACCCCTGCACTGACCCACTGAGGGGCTCGTGGGCTGGTGTTCATCCCCCAGCTTCTGTCAGGCATGGGGTCGGGGTGCTCCCCAGCCCAGATGCAGGTACAGCACTTGAGAGTCTGGGCCTGGGGGACGGGCGGGCACCACAGCATCCTCTGCACGCGTCAGAGTGAAGGTGGCAGTGCCCAGCCAGGCTGTAGGCCTGCAGCTACGGGGGGTGCTGGGCTTGGGGCCGGGCCACCTCCACCGCCGGAGACTGAGGTCAGCAGGTGTCTGCTGGGTGGCCCGCGTGCCCAGTGCAGGCTGGGTCTCACGTCTGCTCTTTGCCTTGCAGCCTCCTGAGCAGCCCCCCTACCCACACCACCAGGGCGGGCCGCCCCACTGCCCGCCCTGGAACAACAGCCACGAGGGAATGTGGGGCGAGCAGCGTGGGGACCCTGGCTGGAATGGCCAGCGCGACGCCCCCTGGAACAGTCAGCCCGACCCCAACTGGAACAACCAGTTCGAGGGCCCCTGGAACAGCCAGCACGAGCAGCCACCCTGGGGCGGGGGCCAGCGTGAGCCGCCCTTCCGCATGCAGCGGCCGCCACACTTCCGCGGGCCCTTCCCGCCCCACCAGCAGCACCCGCAGTTCAGCCAGCCGCCACACCCACACAACTTCAACCGCTTCCCGCCCCGCTTCATGCAGGACGACTTCCCCCCTCGGCACCCCTTCGAGCGGCCGCCCTACCCTCACCGCTTTGACTACCCTCAGGGGGACTTCCAAGCTGGTGAGTGCAAGGTCACCCTCGGGGGCACCGTCCTCGGGCCAGGGATCACGTCCCTGTCCTGCCCTGTGATCCCTGAGAAGGTCAGATCACTCGCCGGCAGGGCCTGGAAGAGGCGCCTGACGGACCGGCCTTCTGAGCGGGCTGGTGGCACTGCTGGCGGTCCTGCCGTGTGGCCTGGTATGCCCTGAGCCAGGGTGACAGGAGGAGGGTCATAGGGTGACAGAGGAGGGCAGACCGGCGACCCTGGTGTGGGCACCGCCAGGCACCAGGCCAGCTGTTGAGGTGTGAGGCCCTGTATCTCGCAAAAGAGGAAGGACGATGGGGTTCTGAAAGGAAAAGGAACTCCCTAGTCCCCACGGCAGGCAGACAGGGAGTGAGCGAGCCACTGAGTCCAGGCCCAGCAGCCCTTGTGCCATTCCCTGCTCCTTGTCTTGCTGTTTTCGTTAGGTGTTCTGTTTTCTTTTTGAAGAATCTTTAGTTTTCTCGATCTTTTGTTTTCTAAAAAATTTCATTTCAACTCTCCTACTTTTCAGTCTTTATCCTCAAATCCATTCTTGACTGTAAATTGAGCTTGGAGACCAGTAGCAGGTTTCTTGCTTGTGTGAGTGTCTTGGGGCTGCTGTAACAAAGTACCAGGGACTGGGTGCCTCCAACAACAGGGAATTCTTCTCTGGCAGTTAGTTCTGGAGGCTGGAGGTCTGAGATCAAGGTGTCAGCGGGGTTGGTTTCTACTGAGGCCTCTCCCCGTGGCTTGTAGATGGCTGTCCTCTCCCTGTGTCTTCCCGTGGTCTTCTCTGTGTGTGTCTGTCTCTTAATCTCCTTTTCTTAGAAAGACATCGGTCAGTATTGGATCAGGGCCCACTCATAGGACCTCATCTAAAGTAGTCATCTCATTACAGGCTCCATTCCCAAATGCAGTCATGTTCTGAGGTACTGGGGGTGAATTTGCAGGGGACACAGTTTGGCTCATAACATGGCTGTTTGAAGGTTATGTGATTTCCCTTGTGGTTCCTTCTTTCACCCGTGAGGTCTGTCAGGTGCTGCTGTGGGTGCAGGACAGGCCACTCTGAGCCCCGGCTCCTCCCCCGTTGCTGTGTGGCCCTGAGCAGTGAATGAAGCAGCCGGAGGGTTGGTGCTGGGCAGGGCTGCCCAGGAAGTGGGTGTGGGCATCCTTGCCCCATTCTGAGCCCCTTTCCACTGGCGCTTATTACCCTGGAGATCTCGACCGGACTGTTGGCGTTGCCCAGCTCTCAACTTCGCGGCAGACCTGAGTCAAGTTTCTGTTTTGCAGAGATGGGACCCCCTCACCACCATCCCGGCCACCGCATGCCTCACCCTGGGATCAACGAGCACCCGCCTTGGGGTGGGCCCCAGCACCCTGACTTCGGCCCTCCTCCCCACGGCTTCAACGGGCAGCCCCCTCATATGCGGCGACAGGGCCCTCCCCACATCAACCACGACGACCCCAGCCTGGTCCCCAACGTGCCCTACTTCGATCTCCCTGCCGGGCTGATGGCCCCCCTCGTGAAGGTAACGTTGCCAAGTTGAGTGCCAAGCTTAGCCTTGAATGCTTGGTCTCCACGTGGAAAGTTCACAGGTGGAACCCATTTCCCGATTGGCCCCTGCCCCTCTCTATTCCCACACCCCAGCGAGCCTGACCAGTAGTCAGAGGGGATGTGCCTGAGCCAGCAGCACCACTTCGCGTGCTCACGTGTGGCTGTGAGCAAGGCCCGCGTCCCCCTCTGCTCCCTCCGAGCCTCCCTCCTGGGGCTGCAAGTTTGGTAGCTGCTCAGAGTGGGCTGGGCTGGGCGTGAGGTGCAGGTCCTCTTGGTCCTGGCCTTTGGAAGCCACCTTGCCCAGGGGCTGATGACAGGGATTTCTCAGAAAAGGGGTGGTCTCCAGCTGAGCAAGGTGAGCAAGGCAGGAGGGGGGGTCAGAAGGGAGCCAGGGCTGGGGCTCAGGGCGCTCTGAGGGTCATGCTGGGTGTACTGGTCACTGCCACTCCCCGGCCCCTCTGAGACATTAGCATACTGGAAGCTGAGACAGGTCACGCTGGGGCAGCAAAGGGAGTCAGAGGCAGAGGGCCCAGCGGGGCTGCCCTCGGGGTAGGAGGTGGAGCAGAGAAAGGGGCACATAGCAGGGCCCCTGGGGTAGGCGCCTGGGCACAGGGCGGTGGTTGGCAGGGGAGGGTGTCTGGGATCCACGGCGTGTCGGTGAATTAACAGGGGTCTTCTTTTCCTTCACCTGAGCTTGGAGGCCACGTCTTCTCTGCATTTTTGTAGAGAGAGAATTCTGTAGCTTCTGTCGACTTCCATGGAGCCCTCAACCACCCCACTTAGGAATTGAAGTATTGGTGTGGCCAGACCCTCCAGGAGGGTGGGGTTTCCCAGGAAGGGCCGGATGAGGCAGCACTCTGATGCACAGGGCAACTGTGTCCTGCCCCCGGCTCTCCGGCTCCCCGACTCCCCCAGCCCCCGCAGTTCCCTGGATGGGCTCCAGCAGGGAGCAGTGACAGCTGTGTTCTCTGCTGCAGCTGGAAGACCACGAGTATAAGCCTTTGGATCCTAAAGACATCCGCCTTCCTCCCCCCATGCCACCCAGTGAGAGGCTGCTGGCGGCTGTGGAGGCCTTTTACAGCCCTCCGTCACACGACAGACCCAGGAACAGGTACGGGGCTGCGGGAGACCAGGCGCTGGCTGGGGCTGGTGATGGGAGGGGAGGCCCCTGTCCCCTCTCCTGGCCTGTCTTCCCCAGTTTGCTTCACAAGAAAGACTCCGAATACTCACACCTTCCACCCAGGGCGGTGTGAGGCCCAGGTGAGAAAATGTGGTTAGGAGATGCCATTTCTCCCCCAGCTTGCATGATGTGTGCCACGCATAGAGTGGCCCTCGATAAAAGGCTTTTACCACATTAGAGATATCAGAACAAGAGCTTACCTCGGGATCCCCTCTCCAGCGGCCTCCTCGCTTCAATTAAAATCGTCTTCTGCCCTGTTTGGGGCCACGGGCCTATCCACCCACAAATCAAGAGTTCCTCGTCCCCAGTTAACAATAACCCTGAGACCCTCTTCAACTATTTGGAGAAAGCCCAGCGTGGAAAGGCGTGGGAGCCACGAAGCGCTGGGAGTGCAGTCTAGCCTCTCCACCTCCCAGCGGGCAGCCTGGCCTCTGGGCCTGGTCGCTCCTCTGAGAAAGGGCAGCCCTGTGGCAATAACCACCCGAGTGCTTTCTGTGCTGGGCCTTGCTCAGCATCCTGAGTGAAAGAGGGAAGGCCTGTCGGGTAGGGCTTATTCCTGGTGACTTTTTCACAAGTTCCCTGTGGGAGGGAGGCTTGCGTTCATACAGGGGACGCCCATGTCTTACAGTGAAGGCTGGGAGCAGAACGGCCTCTATGAGTTCTTCCGAGCGAAAATGCGGGCCCGGCGGAGGAAAGGCCAGGAGAAGAGGAACAGGTAAGAGCGCACCCGCCCACCCCGCCACCTGTGTGGAGGTCAGGCCTCCGCAGTGCATCTCATTCTAGGTCAGCTGGGAGCAAGCTCTGCCTTTGCCGACAGGCGCGCTATGGTGTCGTGCCCGGCGCAGGCAAAGGGGGGTCAGCTCTGGCCTCTGCCTGGGTCGTGGGCCTGGCACCCTACGATAAAGGTGCTGTGAGCCACCAGGAGCTGTTTCCCACAAGGCCGAAGTTAAAACACCAGTACGAGAGAGAAGCTTGCCATTGTCTGTATTCAACCCTGATGTGAAAGGGCGTGTTTGCGCCTGGACTGGGCACATCAGGGGTCTTTTAGAGTTGGGGGTTGGGGCAGGCTGGGCGCAGTCCATGGTGGGGCTCCGGCTCACCAGGCCTGTCTCCGCAGCGGACCCTCGAGGTCTCGGAGCAGGTCCAAAAGCCGAGGGCGCTCCTCCTCCCGCTCCAACTCGAGGTCCTCCAAGTCTTCCGGCTCCTACTCAAGGTCAAGGTCTCGTTCCTGCTCCCGCTCCTACTCCCGCTCCAGATCCAGGTAAGCAGGGCCCCGCCTCTCGGGATGCAAGGCCTGAGGCTCCTCAGCAGCTGCCCTGACCCGCCTCCTCTCCCCTGGCCCCGCAGGAGCCGCAGCCGATCACGCTCCTCACAAAGCCGCTCCCGGACCCGCTCTCGCTCTCGGTCCAAGTCCTATTCCCCGGGAAGGAGACGTCGGTCGCGGTCCAGGAGCCCCACCCCGCCGTAAGATTTCTGTCTTAACTGTCAGAATGACCTCTGGTAGCGCTGGAACCCTCTGATGCTTTGCTGTGAATGTTGAAATGTGTTGTTAGAAGACGCAGTGGCGGTGGCCCGCGCCAAGGCGGCACCTCGGGGCCCCCGAGCACTAGCACAGTGACAGTGGCACCTCATCTCACACCTCGCTGTTACCTCTGCAGTCACGTTGTAAAGCCTGAGGCAGTGGCTGCACTCTCTATTTTCTAACCGTTTTACGGGTCCAGTGTGGCCTGGCTGTGCCGCTGAGTGTGAGGCAGGGGCCGCCGTCTTAGGGAACCCCCTTATCTGCCGGCGAAGAGGATAAAGAAGCAAGCTAGAGACACGAAATGTGTGTGTGTGTGTCCATCTCATGCTGGTGACCCTGCGTATAAGCTACACGCTGTAATATTCTAAGTTTTCATTCCAATAAATATATCAGCTCTTTTTTAAAAGATGTAACCTGTCTTAATTTTAGTTCCTCGGCTGGTCTGGGTTCTAATTCAGCACCTCCTATACCTGACTCCAGGCTCGGGGAAGAGAACAAAGGACATCAGATGCTGGTGAAAATGGGTAAGGTTCCTGGGAAGATGGAACAATCCGCTCTGGGCATTCGGGGTTGGGGGATGATGAAGTCAGAGGAAGCTCTAACTCATGACCAGAACTTCTGAGCCTGCAGGGTTTTTACTGAGCGTCCTTTCTTACTACCCTTAGTTTCCCGTTTATAAACTGCACGTCTGCAGGTCGTCCGACTCTCCAAACACATTTCCATTTAACTTCATGTCAGGGTAAATGCACTACAATTTCAGCTTCCTCTGTGGGCCGTAACCACTCATCCCTCTCTTCTTCAGGCTGGAGTGGATCTGGCGGCCTCGGCGTGAAAGAGCAAGGAATCCAGGACCCCATCAAGGGGGGGGACGTCCGGGATAAGTGGGACCAGTACAAGGGCGTGGGTGTGGCCCTGGACGACCCCTACGAGAACTACCGCAGGAACAAGAGCTATTCCTTCATCGCCCGCATGAAGGCCAGGGACGAGTGCAAGTAGGCGCGGCGCGGGCAGGGAGCCACGCCAGTGGCCGGCCACCGGCAGCGAGGACTGTTGGACCCTTCTTGGCTTACTGGCAGTGGAAGATGGTAGGGACAGCTCGGTTCTCACACTGTCTCCATCTGTGGAGAGCGACAGAAGAGAAGGAAGACTTCGGCAGGCCTTGTGACGAGTGCCACGCTTGATGGCGCGGAAGGCCCAGGCCCCACCTGCAAACCAGCTCTAACGTAGCAGCAAGAGTCACGAGGAGATGCCCAGGCAACTCGACAATGAGCTTCAATGAGCTTATTTCCCTGGACAGGGAAGTGAGAAACATAAGACCCCTGGATAAGAATTCTTGTCATTTGAAGGAACGGCTGTCTCACATCTCCCCTCAGCCTGAGCCTCTAAAACCAGTGGGCGTGCATGGAGGAGGGGCCCTGACGGCACACGCCAGCCCAGCCCAAGGGGCCGGCCTTCCCACTCTCCCATCAGTTGTGTTGTGAGAAGGCTCAGGTCAGGCGCTGGTACTGCTCGCTCTAAAAATGGAAAAACAAAACCTTTTTGATTTGCAAAGTTAAACAGGGTTTTCATTTTTACTCCAAATGGTTGAGTTTTAGAAAAAAATACTGATCTAGGTTGATACCCAGTGAGATAATTTGAAATCTGATTCCTCTGAGACACACTAGCCCTGAGTGCAGACTTATTTAAGCTGTTTAAGTTGAGGTGTTTTTGTTTTGTTTTTTGTTTTTGTTTGAACATTAGCCATTTGCTGTTCGCTGCAGAAACAAAAGGTTCTGAGGAAACTTATCTGAGGCATCTCCAGGTCACGTAATGATGACGCCCTTGGAGAATATGTACCCTTAGTGTCTCTACTTGTGTTTTTCACGGAGAGGAACCCGCACACCAGCACTCATGTGCCACGGCCCATTCACACCCAGAGTGTGGAGAGGGACCACCAGCCCTGCTTCCTGCTCTGTCACTTCCTTTGCCTGCCCCAAGCTGCCCCCAAAGGGAGGTGAGGCTGGAGGGAGCCGCCTCTGCCGGGAGCTGCTGAGCGACAGCCTGGGATCGGCTGCACTCAGCATCTGCAGACAGCTTGGTGCGGTGCCATTTATTTGTACAGAAACATTTTTGAAAAATTCTTTTCAATAAGATGCAAAATTTTCTCCAACTTTTCCACCTGATGTGATAAAATATTTGATTTTGTTCTAGATTTCCTGTAGCTGTGAATTGTTCAAACGTGTCTGATTCAGGATAAAATGTAAACGTGTTAACAATTTCTTGTGGATTTTACTGTTTTGCCTTCAAATAAAGACTTTTTTTTTAAAGACCTTTTTCTCTGTGCATTTAAGTCAAGAAGCGTGCTCAGGCTGAGGAGGGAGGAGGTGCGTCCTGAGTGCAGACTTCGTCTGAATTGTGGAGTCAGGTCGGAAGCTGTGCCCTGGTGTCTCCTGGGAGTCCCCGGTGTGGACGCCTGGTCCTGTTTCCTCGTGGCTCCATGTGGCTCCAGACAGGCTGGCATCCTCTCCTGCCACGAGTGGTGACAGCTCCACCTGGGGTTCCATTTCCACTGGCCTGTGGTACGTCCTCTCGGGTGCCATGCACACTGAGGAAATGGGGGCTGGGAGGGCTCAACTACTCAGCTAGAAAAGGCTGCAGCTGGGATTCCTCTCAGGTGAGTCCTGGCTGCCACCTGCCCCCACCTCTGGGAATGTCCCCTGGGAACTACGGTGTGAGCGTCACGGCTGGTTTATGGGACCAGCTCCTTAGACCCACGAGTCTGTCTCACCTCCCGGCGTTCACAGCTCCTTCTTCACCTCCTCCAGGGCCGCCTCCATGGTCAGCGGGGTGGGCCTGTGTTGCCTGATGTACTGTGGGGCAGAGGACACACAGGGAAGCCATCACCACTGCTGCCTCAGTCTACTGAGGCTCTGGGTCCTGGAGATGGTGCCTATCCCCAGGTGCTAACAAAAAAAATGAAGGGATGCCAGGTGGCAGTGGAAACAGAAGAGGAGAGATGAACCCAGGCAGCCTCCGGGCAGGCACCCTGCAAGGGGTGAGCCCTGACTGAGCCTGGAAGGGAAAAGGGACTGCGGTGAGGGGCAGGGCTACCCGGGGTGCCCTCAAGAGGACACAGGTTGGGGAGGAGGACTTAGGTGCCACTCTCAGGGTGTGGGCCTGAAGCAAAGAGCAGGCAGCCACACATGGGCTGCAGGCAGGTGACGTAGTCAGATCACTTCAGCCTGCATCCAATCAACTGATGCACATCCAACAGAGGAACAAGTTAAAAGGACCCCACTGGGGAGCAATCAGCCCAGTCCAGGATGTGGGAAACCGTCAGATAACCTATTTTCTTTCTTTTTCTTGGCCACACCGTGCGGCATGTGGGATCTTTTTTCCCCAACCAGGGATCGAACCCACACACCCTGCATTGGAAGCGCAGTCTTAAGCGCTGGACCACCAGGGAAGTCCCAAGACAACCTGTTTTCTTCCAACCAATAAACTGCAAGGAAACAAAAGAGATGGGGGAGGGGGGAAGGCCTCTAGAGCACTGGTTCTCAAAGTGGGTCCCCAATGGGCCCATGGGAGAAACGCCCACTGCTAGGCCCACCCTGCTGCCAACACAACCCCAGTGGTCAGGCCCTCAGGGGTCTGACGCTGCTCAGGGCTGAGAACCACTGCTCTAGATTAAGACATCAAATGATCATTTTTTTTTTTTTTTTTTT